GCACGCGGAGGTCCTGGCGTCACAGCCCGGGCCTGGTATCTCCTCTCCCCTTGACCACTGTTACTTGTTCAAGGACAGCGACTGCATTCGTTTTCCTGACAAAGTCGCATCGTCTTTTGCTGAGAAGGAAGGAAATGGTTAACATATTTTATGTTAAAATAAAAACACCCCAAGACTCCCTCAAGCACAGCCCCTTTCCATACACAGTGCTTTAGAGGACACCAAACCAAACCCTTGCGACCTGGTAGACAGACTAGATTGCTTCGTGAGATATCCAAGGCTGTGATAATCTGTCTCCCATGGGGAGGCGTGTGGGTCTGAACTACCGACCTCTTGGTCATTAGTCAAGCACTTCATCACTGTGCTACGAGGTTTCCTCTAGCCTGGCAGAAAACATCCCGTGTACTGAGCCCAAGGTCCAGGTGACCCCAGCTCTTCACAGGCAGGCAAGCTGGCCACCAACTCCAGCAGCTGTGCTCTCCAAGGTCCCCAGTGTGCCTCTACTGGACAAGAGGAACTATCAGCCCCCCTGGCAGGCCTCTGTAGACTGTTCTGCCACCTAAAGCCAGCACCGTTCAAACAATGCACAAGATGCCCTCCTGCTTGCAGCCTGTAAAGGAGAGGCGGGCTAATGTCCGGGTGGGTGGAAATGCCCCTAGGTAAGTGAACTCCCACTTCTGGGCGTGTTTCCTCATGAGCCAGTGAAGAGGCAGGGCGGCGGACCTCCCAGCTCCTCCTGACCACAGTGTAGAGAGGACCCAACACGGATAGAAGGTCCTGGGTCAATTCCTCCTATTAAGGAAACCATCACCCTCGCCAGCCAGAGCCTGGAGCAAGTGCCAGCACATGGGACAGGACACCAGGCCCCGTTATTTATACCCAGCCTAGCCAGCAGGCCTCACAAAGCCTGAACTCTCCAGGCTTCACAAGGAACCCTGCTGGAACTTTTCTAGCTTCACAGATCTACATAGACCCAACCACTCAGATCCTGCAGACAATGCTCTGAGGTTCCAAAGCCCATCTTGCTGCAGACCCTGCCACACCCTGGGAGTAAAGGCAGGAATGGCCACCCCTGCCTGACAGGGAGCTGCAGAAAACACAAGAGTTGCCACCACACACACAGCCCAGGCAGGCAGGGCGCTGGGCTTGGTCACTGGTGGTCAGGCCTTACCTTTCCGTTCCTCTTCTTTCTTTCTTGCAGCTTCTTCCCGCTGTTTCCGGATGATTGCCAGCCGGGCCAGGTCAGCCTTGGCCTGCTCTGTCTTCCCAGCTAAATGCATCTTCATGTAACGCTCCTTGGCTTTCTGCTTCTCGATCTCTTCTCTGTTTGGATAAGCTGGTGTCATACAGCTTCCCTACTGCTTAGCAGGGCTGCCAAGGACTTAACTTAGGGCCAAAGTGAGGAGGGAGGGCCAGGTTGCGTGAGGGGCCCTGGCTCCTGTGCGCCATCAGATGGCCGCTCACTAGACAAGTATGGCGGAGCCCAGAACTGGGTCCAGATGTGACCAAGGGAGGGCTCACTAGCATTCCCAGGTGAAAGACGACAAGGCTGGAGGTGAGCTCAGTGTTGCAACTGTCAGAGCCTGAGCCCATGAGGACACTGGCCGGCTGGGGACACGATTGGCATTTCATCACTAGAGCCTGATACCGTCATGGTGCAAAAGGGGATCAAGACCTCTGAACTGTGTATTCAGGAACGATGGCCTGGCCAAGAGGAATAGCACAGTCCATGAGGAAGACATGAGCAGGTGACCCCAGGCTATGGGTTACAGCCAGGGTCAGAAAGGACACATCTAATCCCAGGGTCAAAGATGGTCTGACACAGCAGCTGCAACAATGGGCTGAAAGGTCAGCAGTCTGAACTCATTAGCAGTTTTGTTGGGAGACAGGTGGGGCAGTCAGCTTCTGGAATGTTCCAGTGATGGAAACCCTCTGGGGCAATGCTAACCTGAACTCTGGGTTTTACGAGCTGGAATGGGAGTGGTGGGGTTTAATCTCTCTTCCACAGCCTACAGCTCAGTTTCAGCCAGAGCAGATCAGGTGTGCATGAGGGAGGCTGTTTCCAAAGGAGAACAACGGTGGGGCTGTGGAATGAAAAGCTAGTCTCTAGTCCAGGCAGGCGTTAGTCATCAACCCACCAGACCGAGGAAGTGGGGCTGCCACTCTGCTCTCCGCTCAGTGCCCATGTAAATCTGAGATTGAACTGGAGCTAGTGCCCCAAGGTCTTGAGGCAGCAAGGCCCCAACTGCACAAGACTTTCAACAGTCAAGAAGTCAAAGCGTGGAGGTGCCAGCCTGGCAGGAACCTGAGGGAATCCTGGTAGGGATGGGGCAAAAAACAAGGCATGTGAGCCTGGCTAGAAGAGAGCCCAGGGATGCTAGATGCCTGGGAGAGTGAGGACAAGCTATGCCCTAAAGATGAGGAAAACCCATCAGCCCCGCAGACCACCTAGGGATGGAGGTCAGAGTTAGGTGTCACTGAACTGGGTCTTCAGAGTTCCAAGGCCAACAGGCCCAGGAAGCATCTGGAACGATGAATAAGGCTTCCCAGGAAGGCTGTGCAGGTGTCCTAGGGAAGACCTGAGGGCCCGCAGTCGTGTTAGCAGTGACATGTCCACGAGGCACAGCTGCCAAGTGGCAATCTGGTGACACTAGATTGAGCCTTCTTGCTGGGAGAAGGCCAGTACCAGCCTAGGCTACTGGGGTTCTGGGGGCTCAATCCCAAGGGATGCTACATGAGAAAAAGGCCCTTGGTAGTCTGCATTTGCTCCAGTCTCGTGAGTATGCCCAGTCAGCACTGTTGACCACAAGGGCAGCACAGCTGGGAGATACCCCTCAATCCTAGCAGTCTTGTCAGATGAGAAACCCAAACACTCTCTGCAGCAGTCTGCAGCCTGCCGGGCCCCTAACAGCCATCAGAGGGCAGGGCACTGCCTGGAGAGGACTGACTGAGCAGGGCTTCAGTACTGGTTTCACCCTATTTGCACACAGTTCTCTGAGAGGCTGGGGCACTCAGAAGGAAAGGACCTAAGCTAACCTGCTTTGTGCCTGGGCCAGTGTCACCTAGTACAGCACTCAGGTCTTCATTCTCTCTGATTTAACTTCTATTGGTGAATCTCTGGAGGGAGAGGGGAAGAGGATAACACTTCCATAGGGTCTTTGGGGAATAATATGGAACATACTCTGAGTGAGGGGATCCCCCAGCTTCTAAGGACACACAATCCAGGTCACAAGCTCTCCAGCAGTTACCGTTCTCTCCTCGAGAGCTCCTTCGGCCCGTCCAGATCGAGCTGTGTGATCTTTTTAGTTGTCTGTGCCACCCGGTTGGGGTTCTCAATGTCGATGAGCCCTTCCACACCTTTGCGTTTTTGCTAGAATGGGACAAATACTGGCCGTTGGAGAGGCTGAGGTCCTGTGGAGGGCCAAGGCCACTCCCGTTCCCAGCACCCACCGTAACGCCTGGTTGGGAACATCTTTCTGCTCCCACCCCTGCCCGATAGGATGCTGGGCACAGGCCTCTCAGAGACAGCACCCAAGTCAAGGACCGCAGTGCAGTGCCAGCTGTGGTCAAACTAGCATCAAGGGGCAGGAGCCCAGCTTCAGAGATTGGCGTCAAGGCTCAGGGGTAACCATCCTGCCTGAGGTGAACCAGGAAGTAAATGGCAAATGAGAGACAAGCCCAAACCCAACTCACAAGCTCTCAGCCTAGGATACTAGTCCCCATATTCAAGGTCCGCCTCCAAAAGTATCTTCCATGAATCTTGTGCCTGTTCCATCGTAAGCCCTGCCCAGGGTGCGTCCTCATTATCAATGCCAATCCCACTCATTCTGGCTGAGGAGGCGGGAAAGGCAACCTCAGAATGAGCCACAAGGTACCACAGACAACGTGGGTTTCTGGTGAGATCCAAGAACCTGGAACCAACAGTACCCACTCCACAGGGGACGTTGAGGAAGGAACTAAAATATAACTGGTATAGTAGGTTTTATCAAAGTTGCAGGTGCTATGAGCCCTTAATTCCTTCTTAATCTACCAGGGAGATACTTCCAAAGGCCAACTGCCCTGACCATTTCAGAGCTGACCACTTCACCTGACAGAGCTCCGGACACCCAACTCTGATCCAGCTACACATTCACAGCTCTACTCTTACTCTTAGCATCACTGGAAAACACAAGCCATCCGGAGACCTCAGATGGCGGCTCCCCATATTCTCAGGCACCACCAATTCTTCTCTCCCTTGCAAACCTACCCCCAAGCTCAGCACACCTCAACAAGTCTATCCCTGAGCTACAGCTGAAGTCTGTCGAACTCATCCCCACTGTCACTCATAACATTTAGCACTGCTTGAGATTCTCTGTTTAGTTCTTCACTGTCTGGACCACCCACTGAACGTAAACCCTCACAAGCAAGAACCCTGCTGCTGTCCTTCATTTTTGAGCCTGAGGGAGCTCTGGTGCCCTAGTGGCAAGAAGCTGCACTGCAATCCCAGAGGTACGCAGTGCAATCCCCTCCTGTACCAGTCAGATCCAGTCTGACAGCACACATACAAAAAAATTAAATAAATAAATAATCAATCATTGGGCCTGGTGATAACTATGACTCAGGAGAAGTCTGTGGATGGTTAAGTCTACACCCAGTACCTGGTAGTCATCATCATCCTCTTCGCTCTCGTCTGAGTCTAGAGATTTCTTCTCCTTCTTGGGGTCACCTGCAGCTCCATCCCCACCTTCTTCTTGTTCCTCTTCTTCCTGTTTCAGACATGGACAATCTGCAGAATCAGAAATAAATAGCAAACCCACAAGACTGCAACCTGCCCCTATTCCCTTCAGACTGTGGAGCTGAGAAATCCTTGGAAGGGTCTTGCTCTAGCACTGTGGCCCTGGGAGGCAGGAAGCCTCTGAACTCACTCCAGGCTTGAGGGCTACTCACAGTCCAGCAGGGCCCTGGGCTGTTGGTGCAGGGCTGAGAACAGCCTGGGAGAAGGTCTTCTCTGTAGCAGGACTCAGCTGAGCAGCGGGAAGTCAGAGCTGCTCAGCTCGCCTCCTGCCCCCCATCCAGTGCTACCCTGGAACAATATGCTGAATTCTTCACGCTCTGCTGGCAAATCTTCCTCTCCTTGCCACTTGCACAGAGGGGCCAGCCACCTGGCATGACCTGGAAGCTACCTCACCACATGGCTTCCCTCCACTTTTCTTGCCTCTCATAGAAACTTTGTGCTGTTCTCCTAGTTGTCACTGCTCTGCTCATTCTCCCTCGTTCCTGTCACTGCTGTTCAGAGCACCAGCCCACTGTCCTCCACGAGGCCCTCCTGGCATGGTGTGGCCTCTGCTTTCCCGAACTGCTCATTTGTCTGTTTTACCTGTGCCTTTATCCAAGCACAGAGCTACTGAATAGCAGGTACATGAGCATCAACAATGTCAGAAACATCCCTTGGAGAGACAGATGCTTTTCACCACCCTTTCTCGCCAAAGTTTTATAAGTTCCACCACATGATGGGGTAGAACTATACCAATGAAGCCTGTTGCTCACACCAAGAGGGCTGGAAAGCTTGCTAATAAAGCAAATCAGGTGCCTGGGACCCTTGCGGGAGTCGGACTATACAAACAAGGTCATTGGAACCTTAACAAGGGATTGATCCATTCTGCTGTCCCATCAGACTTAAAATGATACATCCCAGAGAGCTCTGGTGGCCTAGTGGTAAGGGGCTGCAACTACAATCCCAGAGGCGCATGGTTCGAATCCACCAGATGCTCTGCCGGGAAAGGAGGGACAATCTCCTCCTGTACCAGTCAGATCTGATTTGAGGGTACACTCACACAAAAATAATAACATTAAAAAAAAAAAATGATACATCCCAGAGGTAGGCAGAGGTGATGCCTACTATCAAGCAGGGTGCATATTTTGGATCTAGGGACCTAGTACTGAGAACCATCTGGATTCAGAGGATAGAGAGCTGTAACACTGGAGACAGCAAGAAACCACTTTAGAAACAGTCACAGCAAAACAGGAAGCTGGTAGGGACAGCAGAGCGGAATTCCAGGCCCACAAAGCAAGAAAGTCTAGTGCCTCTGGGTCAGAACCCTGCTGGTGGAACACGGTGCCTCCTGGCACTTGTCACTGAAGCTATGCTTGGCAAACTATTGAGCAAGAGAGCTGAAGACCTTTGGGCACGAGACTTGGTGACAGAGTGTAGTGCCTCTGGGCACTTACTGGTGGAACAAGAAAGTTTTATCACACTTACCCTGGCAGGAGAGAGGCCATGAAATTGTTTTGACAGAAGAAACTGTCCCGAGCCTTCTTTGATCCTGAATTTAGTATGTTACCTCCCTAATAAACCCCATGATCACAAGTATTGTGCGTAGTTTTGTGCAGCTATAGCAATGAATTATCAAACCCAGACGTGAAGTAGCGAGTGCCATGGGAGTGACGCTGGTGTCAGATCTGGTAAAAGGTTGAAGGTGGAGGTATGTCTGATGTCCACCTTGGGAATTATCAGTCCTGGTCTGATGCTGACCTTGAATCTCCTTCCCCTTGTGAAGGAGGCAGCTGGACACCATACCATTCTTACACAGCCCGTGTCCCAACGATAGGCTGGACCAGAGTGGAGGGGATTCTACATCAGTCGAGGTCAGGTGAAGGAAAGATGGAGCACCAGTGAGCTAGTCAGTGCCGAGGTATGAACTGCTCTCTGCCTGTCTGGAGTGCAGTCAGGCAGGCAGCATGTCCTGCTGGGTCTAGCAGGCAGTCCTGTGTGGCTGGAGCAGACAAGTAGGGGTGCCAGGAGCTAAAGCCATAGGGATGAGGTTGGGTGCAGGCCTGACAGAACAAGAATCTGGTAGGCAGGAACTTACATCCTATTCTGTTCCCAACCAGATCACAGGACCAAGCCCTGGTCTACTGGAGTGCCATCTGCCAAGTAAACCAAGCTCCTGCGTCACTTCAGTCACAGGCTGGCTCCTGACCTGCAGCTAGTGGTTCTGGGACAATTGCCTGCTGTTCAGTGCCCCCAGGATAGGTGGCACTTTTCTGGTCTTTCTGGAACCATAGATAGGGCTCACATGGGGCCACCAGGGTGACCGAGATAGACATGTACTCACCCTGGCCTTCTGCTTCTCAGCCTGCAGCTGCGCGTCGATCTCCTCTGGGCTCGTGTACTGCCGTGCCCGGCCTTTATGGCCACCTTTCCTCCCTGTGCAAGACCGACGTTTAGGATGCAAGAGGGAGGCACAGCATCCTGTGTCCCGTGTGTGCTAGTCTCACCAAGCACCACCCAAAACCTCCACCACTGCCTCCTCCATACGTACAAAGGGACAAAAAACAATGTGTGACCATCCTGCACCAAAATGGAGGATGCAGGCTGCCACAAAGGGGATCATAAAAGGGGTGAGCACAAGGGAAGAGACAGAGCATGAAGCAACTGGCTAAATCCTAACAGAGTGGGCTCCAGGACAATCACCAGGATATGCATCATTTATAACCTAATGCTACCACAATGCTTTTTACTCGGAATGCTGTCAGTACCAACCTATGGAAGAAGTTCTGGTGGCTGCCAACCAAAACATCAGTGGTTTGAACACACTAGTTGTTTATGGAGAAACATGAGGCATCTGTTTCTGCAAAGATTTACAACCGTGGAAACTACCCTGTCCTAATAGGGTAACTATGATCCAGAACAACTCAATGGCTGCAGCTGGATTACAACCATATGGTGGAGTAACTGGAAATGTAAGAGCAAAGCAACAGGGTGATGAGCATTGGTTTGATGCTCAACTCTGCCATGGACCAGCTTTATAACCCTGGGTAGGTTTCTTAACCTCTCAGGCTTGGTTCCCCATGGGGGTGCCAGGACAGTGGGGGAGGGAGCAGGTGTAAGTTGATGGAACAGTGCCTGACACTGGATAAGCACTGCAGAAGTGCCACTATGATTATCAGTTTTCTCTCTAATTCATTATTAAGTAGGAGGGAAAACACACTGGACACAATCAATTAGACTGAAGTGCCAGGGTTTATATGAAAAACTTTTTATTTCTTTAAGGATATATGGTATACAGAGGGCACCCTGGCAGGGGGTAAATGAGGAACAAAACCTTTAAATCTTCGTTTTGGTCAGAGGAAACTGAAGGGAATATAGCTCAGGTTCAACTCCTGGCCGTGTGCAGCTCCCACTCATCTTTGAGTGAATGGTGGGTTATTATGATGCTAAGCTGGCTTTAGTAGAGTTTCCATCTGATTCTAGAAAGAAAGACCTGGAGCTCTGGTGGCCTAGTGGTAAGGAGCTGCAACTACAATCCCAGAGGCGCACAGTTCGAATCCACTAGATGCTCTGCTGGGGAAGAAGGGACAATCTCCTTCTGTACGAGTCATATCTGATTTGACGGTACACTCACACAAAAATAGTAAAATAAAAATTAAAAAAAAAAAGTTCATGTTTTTTTTTTTTAAAAAAGAAAGGAAGACCTGGAGATCTGCTTCCCAAAACCAACTGATAAAAACTATGGATCCGATGGTCTGAATTATGGAGATGCTGTAGAACCAGGCAGCATTTCATTCCGTCAGGCATGGTGCTACCATGAGTCGGAGGACCAGTTGTCAGCAGTTACCAACGAGCAGTCTACACGGGAGACTGACAGCTTTAGAGAGTCTCTGTTTTACAGACTGACTCTCCAGGGGCCTGGGACACATCATCTGCGCCAGCTTTGGGCAGGATGTTCTCTGCTGGCTCTGGAGGGTCCTGTGGTCACTGTGGCCTGATGCCCACCACAGGATTACTCCTGGAAATTGAGGACCACCTCATTTCCAGCCTGATCCTCCCCTGAGCAGAGACTCAATAATTAGACAGCCCAAGCTCAGGCCTCCAGGGAGAGCAGCAAAGACGCTGCTTCCTCTGATTCTTAGACAGCAGCTGTGGAGCCGTAATTGGGCTGCTGCAGACCACGCCACCCACTTTTAATGATTACCTGGTCTCCCAAGGGTTCTCAGCCTACACTCATTACAGTTCTTTTGTGAGGGATCACACTTGCTGTTTTAAAAAAAAAAAAAAAACACCCTCACCAACACCCTCTCTCACCCTCTTAAAATTCCAGGCAACAGGAACTCCTCAAAACTGCTTACTATAGGCTCTCCTCCGCACACCTGCCCCTTAGCCTGCTTTACAGGAATTTTCACAGTCAGTTCTCCAAGCTTGGGGAAAAAAGGCATCTTGCTTAACATAATGGAGACAACTTAGACCTAGGCACGTGTTTAACCTTACACTTGTAAGCCACCACCTTTCTGTTTCCTAAGGTCCCTGGGTCTAACACTTGTGCCCAATTGACCAAAAGGCTGGTGGTTTGAATTTGTCAGTGGTGGGCACACCTGGCGACTGGCATCTGTGACGATTACAGCACAGTGAAACCCCAGGACAGCCTGACACAGCTACTCTTGGGGGGGTGAGGTGGGGGCGTCACTGGATTTGAACAACTCAACAAGCAGTTAATGACAACCAAGCTCCCCACGAGCCAGAAGACTCCAAAGTCACCTGATCGTGAATGTGTACTTAAAATCGTGTCATTGAACCAGGAGTTTCTACTAAATATTATGTAATGGTAAGTTCCAATCTTAGTCCTTTAACAGAGGATGACACGGAAGGATGAAGAGGAGACAGGGCTTCGCTGAGCCCCAGGATTGATCAGCAGAGAGAGAGCCAAACGAGGAGCCACTGGCCCCGAGTCCACTCCGAGGCACGGCCACCCAGGGGACAGAGGACCGCCCCACGGGGGTCCCCAAGGCTTTGCACCTTCACGCAGGCAGCAGCCCGCTTCATCAGCAGAGCCAGGCCCGCAGGCAGGTGCACCTCTCAACCCAGGTGACTGATGGCCGCAGCTCCAGGTGGGCTGCTGGGCGCACTGTCCCCACCGTGACACACAGCTACCAGGAATAACCCGACACCTGCTCCCGTTTGATCGCTTCCCACCCCATCTCAATTCTCCAAGGAAAGGATCATTATAATAACTGCATTAAGCCGGCTGCGTCCAACGCTGGGACTCGAACCCGGGGCCGACCCGCTCGCAGGGCAAAGGGGACAGGATGGATGGCCGTCTCCGACATACGGAGCCAGGCGTCGGTCCCTCCAACAGCGGTTAAAGCCTGCGGGGCCCTCCAAAGGCGCCAGACGTGGGATCGGGCGCGCCGACTCCCCGGGCAGCCCACGAGCGGGGAGGGGAACCGGAGGACACCCAGGCCGGACGGAGGCCGCGGCCAGACAGGGCCCACGTTTCCCACGCGAGGCCGGCGGGCCCGACGGCATTCGAGACGCGGTGACTCAGTCCGCGCCCAGCCTCGAAGCCGGGAGAACCTTCAGCACCCCCAGACTTGAAGAGAGGCACGCCGCGAACCCGGCCCCCCGAGACAGGCGGTTCCAGGACCCCTGAACCCCTCAGCCTGAGGGAGTGGCTCCAGGCCACTGCGGTCCTCAGCCTGTCCATCGGACAGCTGGCCGCCGAAGGCCAGCGCTGGTCCGAGGACGCCCACCCTCTACGAGATACTCGCGGCTTAAGGGGACAGCGAGAGCGGGGGCTCTGGCTGCCCCTCGAGGCCACCGGGCCACGCGCGCCAGCCCCTCACCTCCTTTAGGCATCGCGGCTCCAGTAGGTGCTGCGGAGGCGCCTCGAGATGACACCGGAACCGGAAGCTCCTCGGGCTCGATTCTTTCCGCCCGGAGCAGGGCCCTACCCCACCCCACCGCCGCCGCAGCCGCGAGGACCGGCACCTAGGCGAGGTCCCCACAAGCAGAGGGGCTGCCTCGCGCGCCGCCTGAAAAGGGCTTGTTCACGCGCTGCCGGGCACCAGAGCACCATCCCCTGTAGTCTTGCTCGGGGAAACGCGTGTCCTTACAGCCACCAGTCCTAGGAGTGAGATGCAGAGCTAAAGCGGCGGTGGAATTTTATACAGGCAATCTCTGTGGACGCCTAAGTTGACGCAACCTCCGTACGCGGTGGGGCGGGGCCCGCGGGGACCACCTCCTGAAACAATCACGTCCGACGCAGGAGCGGTCAGTAGGGAAGTGGCGGCAGAGGGAGGCTGACCGCTGGGTAAGTGTTTGGGTCTCTTTTTCACGGGTTTGCTCAGGGATGGGCAGCCTGCACCTGTTCAGCGAGCGATCCGAGCAACTAGACTGGGATGGGCCGGGCTGCTGTACCGGAAGGCCCGAGTGAGTTTCCGGGAGGAGGCACCTGTGCCTTTGTTTCTTTTGCTGTTAGGAGAATGGCATGTCTAGGGGTTCAGTGGTTTCTAGGTCTCTTTTTTGCGCCATTTTCTCTACCAAAGACTTGGCTATCTATATACTCCTTGTTCTTCTAAGTTCGTTTCTGGTGCAGTCTTTCCCTTGAACCTTGTCTAGAGTCCGAGTTGCATCGTCTTCTCTTTCTTCTGAGCGCCGTTCCGTTCCATCGTCCCTCGAGCCCTCCTAAGGGGGTAGTATCATGTATGCTGGTTGTCACCTCTTTTTCTGGACCCAGTTACCTCGTATCTGTCACCTCCCCCGAGAGGTCTTCTCTGGTTCCCACCCTGGACCAGAGCCCTCCGAATTTCCTCTAACCGCACAGGGATCCTTTTCTTGTCACTGGCTGTATGGATGCGCTGCCAAACCATCCTCTGTCGTTTCACGCGTGGAGGTCAGTGCAAAGAGTGCGGACCCTGCCAATTTGCAGCTGTGTGGACCTCTTAAAGTGAGATTCTTCTTTTCTGTGATAACTCTGGAGACTTTGTGAAAAGAGGGAATATGTGGAGGAGTATTTTGTAAGGCCAGCCACCTTTCAGAAGATGGTACTGGATGGATTTGTGGGAGATGCGTCTGTTGTTCTGAAAGGTCCTAGGTGATTGTCCTACATTCTTTTTGCCAGCGAGGAGGAAGTGCATTGTAGTGCAGAGTAGCAAAGCACTTTGCGTTTGTATTTGGACTGGTTTATTGCCATCAATTCTGACGTCATTCTTATTCAAGAAGAATTGATGCTTTGGAACTGTGGTGTTGGAGAAGAGCACTGAACATCCCATGGATGTCCAAACGCACAACCAAATATGTCTTGGAGAGAGTCCAGCCGGAGTGCTCTCTGGAGGCAAGAATGATGAGGCCTTGTCTTACATACTTTGGCCATCTTGCTAGGAGGTGCTGTTCCTTGGAGAGGGACATGATGCTTGGAAGGGTGAAGGGTCTGCGAAGAAGAGGAAGACCCTCAACCAGGTGGATTGACAGGGTGACTGCCACAGTGGGCTGCAATGTGTCAGGAAGTAGGAGGATGGCACAAGATAGGACAGGGTTCAGATCTGTTGTTCATAGGATCATTGTGAATCATACTCGGCTTGACAGCACCTAGCAACAATGGCACGGGCTGTCTATGAATTATTTTGGAGTAACGTGTTTTTAGGTCTGTAAGGGGCACAGCAATCAGCTAATCCACTCCTTTGCTGTCCTTTTCAGATGAGGGGACTGAGAACCAGCGTGTTAAAGTGACTGCCCCAAAGACACAAGTACAGGGTAGAGTGGAACAAGAATCCTTGCCTGTAACTCCAGAATCCAGACGTCTTCCCCTTATACTCTTCGGAAGCAGATTTTAAGGTGCTTTGGTTTGTATTTTTTTTTTCTGTCTTTTTTTCTTTTTAAATATTTGTTCTCCTAGACCCCTCTCCTAGTCTGTGCCTCCTGCTAGATACTTACCTTTTGGAGGGCATAGGCTGTGTCTTACTCATCTCCCACTGGGCCAGGCTCATAGTTGGTGTCACTGATAAAAACCCACATTTATTAAGCTGTAGCCTTCAATATGGCTTGAAGTACAATGTCAAGAAAACAAAGATTGTCACTTCTGGGCTGATTGGCAGCATCATGATAGATGGTGACGAGATTGAGATTGTTAACAGCTTTAGTTTGTTTGGCTCCATAATGAACACACTTGGCACCAGCAGCCAGGAAATTAAAAGATGTATTTCATTGGGATAGACTGCTGTTTGAGACCTCTACAAAGTACTGAAGAGCAACGATTTTCAGTCTGGAGAGTAAGGTGAGCCTGACACAGGCCATGGTCTTTGCAGTCATGTGGTATGCATCAGAAAGCTGGACTATAACTAGGGATGATAGAAGAAGAATTGAAGCCTTTGAGCTGTGGTGTTGGAGAAGAGAATTAGAATTGAATGTACCATGGACTGGTAAGAGAACAAACAAGTTCATCCTGGAGAAGGTGAAACCAGGCTGCTCCTTGGTGGCAAGGATTCTGAAGCTTTGTCTTATATACTGTGGACAGGCTGCAAAGAGGAACTAGTCCTTGGAGAGGGACAGCGCAGGAGAGGAAGACCCTTGATGAGATGGACTGATTCCATCACTGGGGTAATGGGGGTAGAGACAATAAGATTGGCACAAGATAGAGCAGGGTTTAGGGCTGTTGTACATAGGGTCGCTGTGAGTTGCGGCAGCTCGGCACATAACAACACAATGTACCAGGCATTTTTAATAATATAATTTTCACAATACTCTTATCATCTTACAGATGAGGAGAAGGCTAAAAGATTTTAATAAGGTTTTGAAGGTCACAGCAGCACAGTTAGGTTTTGAACCCAGACAGTCTGAATGCTGAACCTTTTCCAGTAGCTACCACGCTGCAGCTATCGCTCAGAGGTAGCTGTGTGCCACAGAGGTGAAAGTCAGTCAGGATCTGAGATTAAAAATCAATTCACTTCCTGTTTTTTTCCTCCCTAGATCTTGTGAACAGAAATGCCAAAAGTCAAAAGGAGCCGGAAAGCTCCCCCAGATGGTTGGGAGTTGATTGAACCAACGTTAGATGAATTGGATCAAAAGATGAGAGAAGGTGAGTTCGAGAGCGCTTGGGTCCAGGGAGCTCTGGTGGCCTAGAGGTAAGAAGCAGCACCGTAATTCCAAAGACACGTGGTTTAAATCCGCTAACTGCTCTGCAGAAGGATGAGCAGTCGCCTCCTATGCAGTTTCCTGCCTCTGAAAACCCAGTAGAGGGTCAGCAATGAGTAAGGTCTAACTTTATGATACACAGGACCTGCAGCGGCGGTCACAGGCAGAAGTGCCTCCAGGGGTCAGGCAGATACAGACGTGTGAGTCAGAAGAGGCTGCAGCGCGGGCTCCCCACAGGGACACATCTTGTGTGTTTATTAACACCAGGCCCCGATCCTTTGCTGTCACGTTGGTGTTGACGCATGGTGTTTCTGTGCATTTTGGAGTTGAATTGCTCCATAGAATGTTCATGGGCGTAATCTTTATGGAAACAGATTTCCAGGTACTTTGTTTTTCTTCACAGCAAGGCTGGGTGTTTTCACACTGCCAGGCTTTAGTTCTGTGTTGTTCTTGCTCCTGTATTATGTACAAGAGGATGAACCACTGCCCAGTCATGCCCCGTCCGCACAGCTGCTGTAGCCACTGAGGTCCTTTTCTTTCTTGATTGTCCTCTTTCCATCACCAAGCATGGTGTACCCCTCCCAGTAATGGGCTCGAAGTACGTGAGACCAAGTCTCGTCACCCTTACTTCCAGGAAACATGCTGGCTTCACTTGTTCTAATAGAGATTGGGATTTTGGCAATCCATGGAATTATTCAGTGTTTTTTGCCAACACCACAGTTCAAGGGCATCACTTCTTCATTGGTCATCAGTCTTCATTGTTCTATTTTCACATATATATGTGTTAATTAAAAGTAGCAGATGCATGCCAGCCCTCAGACATCCTTACTCGATTTTTTCCCTGGCAGTGTTTGATTTCCTGACCGCTGCTTTCATGGCCATTGAGTGTGGATCCAATGGGGATCCTTAAACAACTTCAGCATTTTCTCCATGTCTCACAGAACTACTTACTGGTCAGCTGTGAGGTTTTGGTTTGCTTTATGTTGAGGTGGAATCTTTAATGAACACGTTTGGGCTTTAGGTTAGTAGCCAGTTGCAAATTATTTGTGCTACCCAGGCACCTCTGTTCACTTAGTTGCAGTCAAGTTGACTCCAGCTCAGTGACGTATGTATGACAAATGGAAGCTGCCAGATCATGCACCATCCTCCCAGTCTAC